CTCACCATTCCATGGGCATCCCTTCCTAAATATCCAGTTGAAGAGACCAGCCTTCCCTGATTGATGAAGACCATTCTTCAGCCTAGGACATATAAATAGCCGTGCCCCCTGCTAGAACTGCCAAACAAGCTCTTTAACCTATGAAGGCTCTGCTCCTTTGAAGTTGGCTCTGCCCAGGACTCAGCTAACTCTCCACCGCACTCACTGTAATTATGGACAATTACAGAGGAGCTCAGTCATGGTCTCTGTCCTAGGAGCTGGATGGTCTGAGATGATAACCGAAAGCCCCAGTGCCCTCACTCTCCCTGTCTCAACTGAGACCTCCACACAATCAACAGCAGTGCAGGACTCCTCCTTTACCTGACCCTTTCTCCAGTGCTCAACACTGACCAGTACTGATAATGTCCTCACGGAGTATTTTCTATTTACACACTTTCCCAAGTTCGCGGTGTGCTAGTGTCTGAGCCACAACTGAAGCTGCAGGTCTGTGAATCTGCCAGAATGCTCTCTCCAGCACGCTAGGAGCGCAAGAAGCTTCTCGGCTGGAGAACACTTCCTCCAACATTCCTACAATACAGGTACCAAACAAACCATTTAGAATGATTACGTCATCTCAAACTTGCCACGTCCTTGGAGACTTGTGGGGGAGAAGTAAGAGACCTAGGGATCTTACTCAGGGCCAGTACATAACCAGGCACGTGCTCTAATGTTCTCAGACGGGTGATTTATCGTTGCAGAAAACACACTGGAATGCCGGTCAGCATGTAGGACAGATGTCACAGATGTCCTGCCCATCCGTATTCCAATCATGCTTGACCCTGACCTCCAAGGTTGTGCCTTCCCTGCATCACCAGAACCTATCATGTTTTCTCATGATCCCACCCATCTGGTCAGAGGGAGTTCAGTGGAGCCTAGAACTCGCCCTGAGGGATACGCTCCACCCGACCAAGCCTTCTGACTCATCTGCTGCTCAGATTTAAGCCATCCTCCAAAACATACCACTTGATCAAAATTTTAGTGTCAGTCCATTTAGAGGGTCCAAACACCTCTGACCTCAACCAAACCCCTCCCATCCTCCATGAACACCCCACCCCCACTGCTCTACTTCTGCTGTCCCTGCGTCCTCCACAAGCAGGACAACCATCTGATGAGTCCAAAAACCAATCCTTACTCCATTTGTGACTGTCACACATCTTTCCTTTTCCTTCTTAAAATAAATGGTGTTTTGCAGGGAATAAGAGAGTAGCTCTTTCGGAGGACCTGGGTTCCATCCCCAGCACCTATATAGAGCTCACAACTGTAACTCCAGTAGCAGAGGAGCCAACACCCTCTTCTAATTTCCTCAGGCACGTGGCACACACACATGCATTCAGGCTACATGTCCAGACATATAAAATCATAATATTTTACAAAAAAGAAAGCATGCCTTTTCCTCAGTGTTGATTCTTTAAAGATGTTTAGACAAGACACTGCTTACCTACCCAGCTTCTCACAGGCAGGACTCAGGCTAGCTCAGAATCATGTTCAGCAAGCTATCTGATACCTATCTCATCTGCTCAGGCACTTGGGAGGCAGAAGCAAGTAGATCTCTGTGAGAGAAAGGCCAGCCTGATCTACATAGAGAATCCCAGGACAGCCAGGGCTATCAAGTGAGACCTTGTCACAAAAAAAGAAAGAGAATTCAAGAGCAAAAACTAGATAAAGGGTACTGTAGAAGGCCATCTCCTCAACCTTGCTTTGGCCAGAAAAGCAGGGGTAGTCAGGGTAAGCCTAAGTTGAAAGTTTACAGTGACCTCCCTGGAAGAAAAGGACATGTAGCTCTCTATTAGGCTTTGCCTAATAGAGAGCTCATGTCTGGGTAGTCAGAGCTGCTCTGGGCAAGGCTTCCCCATCAGTAGAAAGGCTTCACCGGCACAGAAGATCTAGTTAGGTCCTGGCATACATAGCAGCTGTTTGCTAGCTGTCTTTAACTAACCTACGGACAAGGAGCAGCTATTGTAACAGCCTAACTCCAGAAGTAGAATGATAGAATCAGACAAAACTGACCAGGCTGGGAACAGTAAACCCTGCCTGGAGGAGGTAAGTTGAAGGACCCCCACCAAAACAACAGAGATGACAGCAGGCTAGTAAAGTCAGAAGGCATCTCCAGAGCTCGCTGGAGGTACAGCTCCAAGGTGTGTGGTCTAGGATTATTTTCTGAGAGGACCAGGGCAGGCCAGTGAGAAGCAGCACAGGGGGATCGGTACAAGTCAGGCAGAAGACAGTAAAAATGATCTTGCTGACTAAGTGGAAACCCGCCCTGCCATTTGTCAGGCTACAACAGCAGGCACAGAGAGAGCCAGCTGCCAAGTAAACAAAAAACGTCATGTCTCCCATTAACTGGAACATGTCACAATGCCCCTTTCTTGGAGTGGCCGCTTACTTCTGATTCATCGAACTCATTTTGAAAGCTCCTCCACTTTCAGTGGGAAAAGCCTGACCTGGCCTGAAGAGCTACGGTGACACACAAACACAGCCTGACTTCCCACTAGCCTCCATGGTGTGGGTAAGGTATGTCTCAACAGTGTTCTACATTTATCTGAACTTCACTGTTTACAAGCAAGTGAGACCTGGGTCCACTTCGTGCTCAGCCTCTAGTTGTCTCTTTACACAAAGCTCCACTTGCTATGAGCTGTCAAAACATCACCTAAGGACTTAGAGGGCTAAAGCAGGATATCTACAGTTTGAGGCCAGCCTGGGCTGCACAGAGAATTCAAGGTTATCCCAGGAAATATAATGAAGCCATCTCCAACATAAAACATGGTTTCATTCCCACACCACCTAAGTTCAAGCTTGTCCCCAAGGCCTGGTGAGGCACCTCCCACTCCTCTGGTATATGGTCAATGAGACATAAACCTGATCTAGTCAGAGAGAGATCTGCTTCCTGATTAGCTTAGGATGGACACTTAGAGTCTGAATGATCAAGGAACAAGTGAGAAAAGATGCCAAGTAAGAGTCAGGGTAAGGCAGATGCTGGAGATACGGATGCATCCAGTAGTCACTAGCACCGAGAAAATGACTAAAGCTACATGTGTGCAGAGACTGCCTTGGGGAGGCTACGATCAAACAGGACAAGGCTGGGCCTCAAGCACCTGCACTGTCTAAAGGCTCCTGAGAAGCAGTTTTCAACCTGTGGGTCATAACCCCTTAGGGGTGCAGGAGTCGAAAGACCCTTTCACAGGGGTCAGCTAAGACAAACGGAAAACATACTTACATTATGATTCATAACAGCAGCAAGATCATAGTTATGAAGTAGCAATGAAATAACTGTAAGTTTGGGGGGAAGAACTGTGTTAAAGGGTCACAGCATTAGGAAGGATGAGCACCGATGGTCTTGAGAGAGGTGAATAGGCAAAGGAGGCAGAAAGGACATCAGAGAGACAAATGGGGAAGGGACACAGGGCCTAGGGAGGCCACGAACCTCAAGTAAACAGCTCCTGTAGTCTGACCTTATCATGTTACCAGGTTCGTGTGTGGCCCCCAGACTGCCTTGGGAAGGAGACTGGCGTCTAATCCCCGACGAATGAGAGCCTGCTACATTTTGCAGACCACTGGTCCATGGCTTTACTGTGAGACAATCAACCAGCAGGCTAATGCACTCTGTTACCAGGCAGCATTTCCCTTTTCTGGAAATAAATGCACAGACACTAATTGCTCTCAAAATTTGCCAGCTGAGCATGAGATCAGAATGAGGCAGTTAAGAAGTCAATAACTGGCGACAGGAAGAGTAAGGCCCCACAAAGAATGGCGACACAGCCACAGAATGGCGGCAGCCCTGTCACTCGCTCTGGGGGGAGCGGGGAAAGCATGTTATTGGGGCCTAGTAAGAGGCAGACTGTGGAGGAGGCCCCTGGGAGGGGCATTTGTTGTGAAGGAATGCAACCCAACCACCAAGAGGGGCAGAGGACAGTTGGACACCCCTCCCACCCACTCCTTCTCTCTTTGCTCAGAGAGGCCTTCTTTGGCCAGCCCTGCCAATTCCAGTCTGTAGGGGGTCCACCTCCCAGAGCACAGTACAAGGTGGAAGTTAATGGCTGAGAAGACTCTGAAAGAATGGGGCAGGGTTCTGTGTAACCATAACCATTCAACCCTCTCTTTTATTATTTTTATGTTCACATGCACTGGCATTTTGCCTGCATGCATGTCTGTGTGAGGATACTGGATCCCCTGGAACTGGAGTTCCAGACAGTTGTGAGCTTCACAGACTTCTGCTTGCCTCACCCCTCTAACTGAATAGGGCTGGCTAACTGGCCAAGTACATATGCACAAACTAGAAACCCATGTTCTGATCCCTACTAGCTGGCTATTTAGGCAACCTGGCTGCCCCTCTCCCCTTCCAAGGAGATCACCGTACTGCTCGTTTCTCCAATCTCAGGCTAGTCTTGAACTTAGTATGTAGGCGAGAATGATTGTAACACCTGATCCTTATACCTCTGCCACCTAAGTACTGGATTACAGACATACACCAGAGGATGTCTGGCTCAGAAACCTACATCCTTGAGTCAAGATACTTTCTTGGTGGGGGAGGGGTAGGAGATGACACCTTCAGGATGACAGGATACACCACACTGGTATGGGAGAGGGGCTGCGATCAGGATGTAAAGTGAATAAATTAATTAATTAATTATTGGGGGGAAAGATACTTTCTTACTTGGACTTACAGCTCAAAACATTACTTGGGCCTTTGGGGTGCACACTATGAAGGCTGGTAGTCAAATGTGACTTGAGAAATTAGCCTTACCCACCAAAAGCTGATTAAACGGCAATTGGGAAGGTGCTGGCTCAAACTCCAAATACCTCCCAAAACATTTAACAGGGTCCCGGATTAGTATTTGCGATGTTGCTCAAACGTCAAACATCTGGATAGACAAGTCCTAGCAATCCTGGACTTAGCTCAACATTTGAAAGGTGTCTCCCCTGGCCACCTAAAGACAAGCAGCATACATGAGGTTAAAACTCACTTTTTTCTACAACCTTTAATTTCTGGAAACCTTCCAGTAACTCCCCATTTAGTATTCTGGGTAAGAAGTCCCGTATTTGCATCACTTCCGTGGTCAGCCGTTCCAGGTCCTTCTTTCTGACTTTAACAAATTCTTCTTTAGATTCCATGTGCTAAAAGAACAAGTAGATCTTAGCATTGTAGTATTTCTCTTGAGACGACTAAGATTAGCAACCCAAATCAACTTGCTGCCTCTTCTTTCATGTCTCTTACATTCATAATTGCCTCACAAATGTGTTTACATGTGTACCTTTGCGTGTGTGTGTGTGTGTGTGTGTGTTAAGGGTTTTGTTAGCTTTTTGAGAGGGAGGGTCTCACTGTGTCACCCTGGCTGTTTTGGAACTATATAGACTAGGCAGTGTGCCTGCCTCTGCCTCCCTAGTGCTGGGTTAAAGGCCTCTTCCACTACCCCTGTCACCTAATATCCCTTCTGTTACACATATGTGGATACAGATTTGTGTGTGTGTGTGTGTGTGTGTGTGTGTGCATGGGCTTTACATACTGAGGGCCTTGATGACCGGGTCAAGGGTGGTGATTCACACCCACAGTCCTACCTTCTCAGGAGACTGAGGTTTAGGCCTTGCCCAAGTGACAGAGGCCAGCCTGAGCAACATTATCAAGATTCTGATTCGGTAAGAACAAATATGGCGGAAGAGGGAATGGAAACACTTAAGGGGGAAAACCGAACTCGTATTCCTAAAAGCCAAAGAAAACGCCTGCAAGTTAATGCGCCCCAAGCAGATCTGCTCCAGGATGGGATCCCTGCGGCTACACTTGGCTTCTGCTGACCCCTCACATCCACGCTGCCATCCAAGGCCGTCCCACCGGAAGTAGGCATCAACCAGGCCCTCTCGTGGAGAGACACCAGAGGCAGAACCCAGAGAAGTGAGTTCTCCGCTCTGGCTGCCCGAAACCTCACGGCCTAAGACCTGAGCTTTTAACTTGACTTTCTTACGTGAAGGCCTCGGCATATGATTGGGAACCGCGCCTCGTGTCCCCGGCCCTGGCCCGCCCTCGCGCGGCTCGCGGCCTGGCCTCCTCAGGGCTACAGGGACATCTTCTCAGGCACTGGACCCACCCTGAGGGGAGTAAACATCAGCAGCTCCCATATGTGGGGCACCCACTGACCCGGCAGGCCTCCTCAGTATCGGAACCCTCGCCCACCGTTGCGGCCATAGCCGTGGCCTCAGCTTCGTGCGCCTGCGCAGAACTCTCTACCACGCACCCAAAAAAGCGCGGGAATATGAAGATGGCCGACCGTACGGAAAGCCGCAAGGTTCAAATTTCCCCAAGTTTGCGCTTCGTTCTCAGCCTCTGGGTCCAGGGATGAAATGGACCCGGATTCTACTGCCCCTGTCCTATTTCCGTTGTGTTTCAGACTTGTCACCTGCAGAGTGAGGCCTGAGGGTCAAGCAGAATTCGTCCTTCCCTGTTTAAGGAGAGGATGCTAAAACCAAAGCTACACGCTGTGAGAAACTGCGCAGGGGAGAACCTCGTTGTCCCTTGGCCCCAAGTGCTTCTGTATTAAGGGATGCATTTTCACATCCACAGAAGAGTTATTTTGGCCAGGTAACAGGTTTGAAGCTAGATGTAGTGGTACATGCCTGTAATCCTAGCACTTGGGTGGTGGTGAAGACCTCCGCAGAGGGGAGACCCTCACTCAAGTCTCAGAAAGTCGCGACCACCCAGTAATCTGCTCGAGACACCGTGTACCGGAGCAATAGCGAGGTTTATTAGGGTGTGTGACAGCTAGCTGCTGGTCAATTCGTATGCCCACGCAGGAGCTGAATTGACCCCGACAGCCAGTTTGAGAGGGGTTTTTAAGGGGAAAAACCACAAACCAAGGAATGGGGAGGGGGATGAGGGGTTGTCAAGGTGGCATAACATAAAAAATAGCAGAACATTCCAAAGGAACCCAACCTACGTGAGTCAGGGTCATGTGAAAACTTTCTGTACGTTTATCTTTCTCAAGAATGTGGTCCTGCCCTGTCACTGCGGTTCTCAGCTTGGTTCCCAGCTGGCTAACTTGCATTCTAGCCAGTTCCCGTAACTAGCCTGTCCACATTCTTAACTTGCTTCATGCATCGGTTTCTCCATGTCTTTATAAAGAAAGCCTAAAGAATATTTTATATGTCTAAAAAGAATTCTATATACCCAGTATCTATAATTTTTCACTCAACAGTGGAAGCTGGAGTTCAAGACCAACTTGCTACATAGCAAGGGGAAAATCTAGCCTGGGCTACATAGGGGGAGAATCAAAATTAAATAACCAAAGCTTGGAAGAATATACCAATCTAATAATTCTCATATGTTTGATGGCCTAGAGTTTTGGATGTCCCTAAAGTTAGCACAACTGTTAAAAGACTTCTTTCATGTGGGTTTAGTATGTTCCCACTTGTGCTGGTTTTATGTCAACTTGACACAAGCCAAAGTCATGAGAGGAGGGAACCACAGTAAAGAAAATGGCTCTATAAAATCAGATTGTAGGCAGGCCTGTAAGGCATTTTCTTAGTGATTAGTGGAGGAGGACCCGGCCTGTTGTGGGTGGGAACATCCATGGGCTGCTGGTCCTGGGTTCTATAAGAAAGCAGGCTGACCAAACTGAAAAGAGCAAGCGGTAAGCAGCATCCCTCCATGGCCTCTACATCAGCTCCTGCCTCCAGGTTCCTGCCTTGTTTGAGGTCTTGTCCTGGCTTCCTTCCATGGTGAACAGTAATACGGAAACGCAAGTCATAAAAACCCTTTGCTCCCAGCTTGCTTTTTGGTCCTCGTGTTTCATTATAGCAAACCTCACTACCCACTGCTCAGATCTGTGTGTTTTGAATGCAGGAGGATTTAAAGACAGAGCCAAGTTCCCGCCCTGTTAGATCCTCAAAATTTCCCCCTACAATGCACATCCCTGCACCTGACCCAGACATTGTGGGTAATGGGTTTGCTGACTCCTCATTCCACAAGCCTGCGTCTTTCCCAAGAGGCGGCAGGAAGGCTTGCTCTCTCGTCACTACACACTCCTGGATCGACCCTAGGACGCTGCAGGAACGGATTGCTCACCACACCACACTTCTGTAAGTGCCCTTGATGCTGCAGGAATGAGTTGTTCTCTCTCCTCTCCAAATCCCGCACCTGTCCTAGAAAGCTGCACCTCTGTACTTGTTCCAGGACATGGGGAGGTGGGCCATTCCCTCTATAATGCTGCATCGAGAATCAAGGCACTATCCTCGAGCAAACGGGACGGGGGGTCCCCTGTCCCTGTGTTGTCGTAAGCCTCAGGATGCCTCGATGACGGCTTTCCTTCTAGGTATCAAGTCTGCCCAGGGAAGCCCGCGGAGTTCCACCGACCCTGGGTGAATGGAGGTAGCAGGATCGCCGCTTCCCCGACAGACCTTTTGTTAGCTGTGTTTAGACTCTAAAACTGCATCAAACCAGCCGTAGGTGTCCTGCTGGAGGAAATCTGACCCCAACTAACCGCCTGGTCAACCGCCCTAAACCTGGATCACCCACAGCAGCGCCGCTACATCGCCTACTCGCACAGGGGCCACGCGGGCTCCCTGGGCGCCCGGCGCGCGGCGCACCGGTGACGCCATCACCCGCGCGCCGCAGCCAATGCGCAGGCGCAGTCCAGACCGCTCGGCGGCGAGCGGCACGCGCGCAGCCCCGGGGATGCTGAAGCGGGTGCGATGGCTCCCGCCATGCAGTCTACCGAGCTCCAGTTCGCCCAGCGGCTGGCCTCCAGTGAGAAGGGCATCCGCGACCGCGCCGTGAGGAAGCTGCGGCAGTATCTCAGCGCAAGGACGCAGAGCGACACAGGTGAGGGCCCGGGTCCGCGCCGCTGCGCGCGGCGAGGGTCGCGCCAGTGGGCGCGGGCGCGTCTGCTACGGGCTGTGCGGCGCAGCTCCTGGCCCTGAGTCCTAGCTCACCCCTGGCGCTGGGGTGCGTTAGAGAGAGTTAGCCCTGAGAGGAACTGTGGCACTGTGGTGGCAGGACTCACGGCCATGCAGCGGAGCATGTGTGCATGCGGGAATGTAGACAGTAGTCTGGAAAAGTGCAGGAGAAAGTCCCTCTAAAGGAAGCCTCCTGTGCTCTGTTGAGATTTTGACAGGAAGAAGCCAGCCAGGAAGACGCAAGAAAGATCTAAAAGTGCCCTGGGCCAGAGAAATCAGTTGGCGCGCAAGGCATGTTGAGATAAAACTGAGCCTGGGGGGCAGTGTGGCCGCATCACTCGCTTCTTCGTGCCGTGGAATGCATTGCAAGGATTTATTCAAGTGATCCAGAATAGGTTCTGTAACTCTTGAGTGGATACGTAAAGTCTAGATTGCAGCCTACTGTGGAGGTTTCAGGTTGCATCCAGTTGGCTAAAGTTTGAGTTACATGTTGCTAGATGTGCTTAAAATGGAAGTCTAGGGGGCCCGGAGAGATTGCTCAGCGGTTCAAGTCTCAGTACCCACATGGCAGCTCACAACCCTTTCCTGGAAAGGAGTCACCCCTGCCCTCACCTCTGCTAACATCAGGCATGTACGTGGTGCTCAAACATAGAGGCAGGCAAATCTGATACACCTAAACTAAACCTTTTTTTGTTTTGTTTTTGAGACAAGGTTTCTCTGTGTAGCCCTGGCTGTTCTGGAACTCACTCTGTAGACCAGGCTGGCCTCGAACTCAGAAATCCGCCTGCCTCTGCCTCCCAAGTGCTGGGATTAAAGGCGTGCGCCACCACTGCCCGGCTAATATTTTAGTTTTTTAATGCCTTTATCAGACTTCTCAAAAAGTCTCTTCCTTTCTGGGGGACAAGGTCTTGCTTGTTCTGTGGCCTTGGCTGCCCTTAGCCGTCTAGTGCTGGAATTAATGCTATGTGTTCTCATCTGGGGCAGATTTCAATGAAAAACCATTTTTAAAAAAGATTTAGCGGCCGGGCAGTTGGTGGCGCACGCCTTTAATCCCAGCACTTGGGAGGGAGAGGCAGGCGGATTTCTGAGTTCAAGGCCAGCCTGGTCTACAGTGTGAGTTTTAGGACAGCCAGGGCTACACAGAGAAACCCTGTCTTGAAAAAC